GAAAAATGGACATAGCATCAATGAGCTATGGGACAATTTCAAGTGGTTTCAAGTGGTATATAATTGGGATTCCTGAGAAGAGAGAGGCAGTACAAGGAGAAAAATTTAAAGAAATAATGGTCCAAAATCTGATGAAAACTATAAACCCACAGATTTTAAAAACGTACAACTTTAAGAAAAAAGATACATAAATAAAACTACACAAGTGCACATCACTGATTATGCATAATTATTATTATTTCTAAGACTAGTGATAAAGATAATAACTTATGAGCAGATAAAATAAAAGATTACACATTGCATGTTGAAGAACAAAAGTAGGAATGACAGTAGTCATTCTTGTATTGCAGATCTGCACTATAACAAACCCAGCTCTTTAAAGTACTGAAAGAAAAACTGTCAACTTATAACTCTATACTCACTGAAAATACATTTCAAAAAGGTGAAGGGGCAGGTGTTGTGGCTCGGAGGGTTAAGCTGTGCCTTGCTGTATCTGCATGCTGTACCAGAGTGCCAGTTCTAGTTCCCTGCCAGGCAGCAGATGATGGCTCAATTATTTGAGTTCCCGCCATCTACATGGGAGACTTGGTGGGAGTTCCTGACTCTTGGCTTCAACCGGGCCCAGCACACCGCCCGCCCCCCATCCCCCACATTTAGGGAGTGAAACAGCACACGCGTGCTCTGTTACTCTGCCCTTCAAATAAATACAAATACTGTACAAATAAATATAAAATACTGTCATTGAGGACATCAATAAAATTTGTAAAACTCAAGTGAAATCAGGTCATAAAAAGGTAAGATACAAGTATCAGAAATCAGGGAGGTAACATTTCTATAAATGCTGCAGATACTAAAAGGATAATAATGCAATATGAACAATTTTATAAATGAATGAATTCCTTGAAAGATGAAAATCATCAAAGCCTACTAAAGAAGTAAATCAGCTTAACAGCCCTATATTTATTTTAAAAATTGAATTTGTAGCATAAAATCTTCCCTCAAAAACCCTTCAGACCTAGATGGCACTACTGGTAAAGTCTACCAAATGTTTAAGAAAGAAATAAGAAAAATTCATGTAAACTCTTTCAGAAAATTCAAGTACAGAGAATGCATCTCATTCAATGAGGCCAGTATTACCCTGAAATCAAAACCAAAGACTTTACTAGAGAAAACTACAGACTAATATCCTTTATGAATAAGTGCAAAACATACTACAAAATTTTAGTATACAAAATATAACAATATAAAGATACACAGCATAGTCAACTAAGTTCATCCCAGGAATGCAACACTGATTTAAATAAAACAATATAATTCACCGGGTTAATGGGGAAAAAAGCCTGATTACCTCAGTAAGTATAGAAAAAGTGTTTGACAAAACTTAATATCCATTCCTATTTTAAGTTCTCAGCAATCTGGGATTAAAAGAGATCTTGCTTAAGCTGTTAAAGGGTGTTTATAAAAAACAACAACAAAACTATACTTAATGTTAGACTTAGTGGTGACAAATTGAATGCTTCGTCTTTGAGATGAAAAGTTTCATCACTTTTATTCAACATTGTACTGGAGGTACAATCTGGAGCAAAAAGGGAAGTTAAAGAAATTAAACGCATCCAGGTTGGAAAAGAAGAAGTTAATTTATCTTTATTCACAGATGACATAAACTTGTGTTAGAAAGTCCCAAGGAATTCACAAAAAAGACTATGGTTGTGAGAATTAACCAATTAGTTCAGCAAGTTTTAAATATACAAGATCAATCTACAAAAGACAGCTTTTTTTTTATAATTAGCGCCAAAAATAAGTAGAAAAGCACTACCATTTATAATATCATCTGGAATATGAAATGCTTAAGAAAAAAATCTGAGCCTGAGCCGGCGCCGCGGCTCAATAGGCTAATCCTCCGCCTTGCGGCGCCGGCACACCGGGTTCTAGTCCTGGTCGGGCGCCGGGTTCTGTCCCGGTTGCCCCTCTTCCAGGCCAGCTCTCTGCTGTGGCCCGGGAAGGCAGTGGAGGATGGCCCAAGTGCTTGGGCCCTGCACCCCATGGGAGACCAGGAGAAGCACCTGGCTCCTGCCTTCGGATCAGCGTGGTGCGCCGGCCACAGCGCGCCAGCCGTGGCGGCCATTGGAGGGTGAACCAACGGCAAAAGAAAGACCTTTCTCTCTGTCTCTCTCTCTCACTATCCACTCTGCCTGTCAAAAAAAGAAAGAAAGAGAGAAAGAGGAAGAGAGAGAGAAAGAGAGAGAAAGAGAGAGAGAAAGAGAGAGAGAGAAAGAGAGAGAGAGAGAGAGAGAGAGAAAGAAAGAAAGAAAGAAAGAAAGAAAGAAAGAAAGAAAGAGAAAGAAAGAAAGAAAGAAAGAAAGAAAGAAAGAAAGAAAGAAAGAAAGAAAGAAAGAAAGAAAGAAAGAAAGAATCTGATGAAAATGTACAGGAATTGCACATCAATATACTAAACTGAAGGAAATTTTTAAAAACCTAAATAAATGGAGATATATGCTAAGTTTACGAAATGGAGAACTTGATGTAGTTAAAATGTCTGTTTGGATTCAGTAGAATATCAATTGAAATCCCAACAGGATTTTTTGTAGAAACTGATAAAGCTGATTTTAAAATGTATATGGAAATGTAAAGACTTAGGGCAGTCAAAACCATTTTGGGAAAACAATAAAACTAATATTAGAAAATTTGCACCACCCAATTTTAAAATTACCAAGCTTATATATGACAGAGAGAGGGGGAGAGAGAAAGAGAAAGAAACCTATAAAAGCTGCAGTGGTGAAGGCAGCATGGTATTAATGTAGACAAAATAAAATTGACCAATGCAAATTCCACACATAGATCCACAAAGATGTAATTAACCGAGACAACGGTGCCAAGGCAAATTCAATGGGAAAAGGATAATATTTTTAACATATGCTGCTTAAAAAGTCACACGCAAATAATATTAATGGAGGTCCTTACTTCACACACAATACAGAAAATATTAACTTGAGATGAATCACAGATCGAAATATAAGAGCTTTTCTATAACGTTTCTAGGAAAAACTATAGAAAAATACTTAATTGGGGCCGGTGCTGTGGCACAGCAGGTTAAAGCCCTGGCCTGAAGCACCGGTATCCCATATGGGCGCCGGTTCGAGTCCTGGTTGCTCCTCTTCTGATCCAGCTCTCTGCTATGGCCTGGGATAGTAGTAGAAGATGGCCTAAGTCCTTGGGCCCCTGCACCTGCATGGGAGACCCAGAAGAAGCTCCTGGCTACTGATTCCTGGCTTTGGGTAATCTCAGCTCCAGCCGTTGTGGCCATCTGGGGAGTGAACCATCAGATGGAAGACTTCTCTCTTTGTCTCTACCTCTCTCTGTAACTCTGTCTCTCAAATAAATAAAATAAATCTTTTTTTTAAAGATGTATTTATTCATTTGAAAGTCAGAGTTTCGCAGAGAGAGAGAAAGAGAGACAAACAGACAGACAGACAGAGACAGAGAAAGAGAGAGAAAAGTCTTCCATCCGCTGGTTCACTCCCCAATTGGCCGCAACGGCCGGAGCTGCGCCAATCCGAAGCCAGGAGCCAGGAGCCAGGAGCTTCTTCCGGGTCTCTCTCGTGGGTGCAGGGGCCCAAGGACTTGGGCCATCTTCTGCTTTCCCAGGCCATAACAGAGAGCTGGATTGGAAGCGGAGCAGCCAGGACTAAAACCGGTGTCCATATGGGATGTCGGCACTTCAGGACAGGGTGTTAACCTCTGCGCAACAGCACCAGCCCCAGTAAAATATATCTTTAAGAAAAAAAAAGTGGCCGGCGCCGCGGCTCACTAGGCTAATCCTCCGCCTAGCGGCGCCGGCACACCGGGTTCTAGTCCCGGTCGGGGCGCCGGATTCTGTCCCGGTTGCCCCTCTTCCAGGCCAGCCCTCTGCTGTGGCCAGGGAGTGCAGTGGAGGATGGCCCAGGTGCTTGGGCCCTGCACCCCATGGGAGACCAGGAGAAGCACCTGGCTCCTGCCATCGGATCAGCACGGTGCGCCGGCTGCAGCGCGCCGGCCGCGGCGGCCATTGGAAGGTGAACCAACGGCAAAAGGAAGACCTTTCTCTCTGTCTCTCTCTCTCACTGTCCACTCTGCCTGTCAAAAAATTTTAAAAAAAAAGAAAGAAAAAAAGTAAAAATACTTGGATTTGACAAAGATATCAAACTGCACAAAAATGGCAAATAAGCACATCAAAAGATGCTCACAGTTATTAGAGAAAAGCACATAGAAATCACAAAAAAAAAAACCATAAACCCACAAGAATGACAAAATGACAAACATTGATCATACCAAGTAGTAGTGACAATGTGGACTGACTAGAACGCTTATATAATGCTTGAGGGAATGTAAAGTGGTACAATCACTTTGGAAAACAGGTGGAAATTCCTTTAAAAATTGCCCACACTCCTTCCACATAATCCACTCATTCAACTGCTAGTCTTAGCCTAGAAAAATGAAAGCGTATGTCTGCACAAACATTTATGAATGTTCATAGAAGCTTTCAACAGTGAATGGATAAATAAGTTGGAATGAATTGATACATATATCAATATAGATAATTATGCTGATTGAAGAAAACTAGACAAAAATGAGCAAGATTCTATTTATCTAAAATGTTGAATAAAGCAAAGCATAGTACAGAAAGCAGATCAGTGAGAGCCTGGTGATGGGGATGGAAGGAGGCATGGGGAAACTTTAGAGATGATTATGTTCATTATTTTGATCATGGTGATGGTTTCATGGGTGTGTAAAACTGATGGAATTATATATTTTATACATGTGCAATATATTGTATGACAATTACACCTCAATAAAATTTTAAAAATAAAATGTCATTCGTGGGTAATATGTTACTTTATCATTCTCAGATGATTTAGAATGTTCTTCCCAGAAGATCTTAAATAATTTACACTACCCTTAATGCAAAAACTAAACTGCATAACAAAATGTCAGCAATAGTATCTGGTGAAACTGGGTTTTACCTGTAGGTTCTTCTTCAGTGACAATTATCTGTCCAGTCCAGGGTGCTGATGGGCGACCTGAATAGAGACAAATACGAAAATCACAGACATTCATATATGCAGTCTCATCTGCACTGATCAATTGATAAATTGCTCAAATCAGACACCAATGATTCTGTTAATAAATTTACTTAGAGTATTTTCCTATGAGTTTACTCAAACATGTTTGTGGTATTGGTGGTGGGAGGGGTACATAGCCCCTGTCTTCAAAGGACTCAACAATCTGCTAGAACTTAGAGTCTTTCTGGACTGATAGGATCAACCTTTTTTTAATTGCACTTCCACAAGCTAGGTAAATAACCTGTGTTCATGGAACAACTAAATATGGATCTCCTGAAATATGTAAGCTTTCGCATCCCTTTTTAAGAGAGTAATGTAAGTTTGGGAGGTATGACGGTTATTTATCTGCAACAATGAAGATGAAGGAGGAGAAAGGGCACTGATCTGGCAGCAAAGCTTGGTAAAAGCAATTTTTTCCCCATACATTTTGAAAAGTGTTATCTATAAAGGAAATCAGTTTAGATCTTAAGTCAGGAAAATGAATGAGCCAGGCTTAAAGTTAAAGAGGATATTCATTTCTGTGATCCCATAAACACCAAAAAGAGGGAATGGCTCAACTCTTGCTTTAATCATAGGATATTTTTCACAAGAGTTTGTGCAAAAATAGAACAATGACAGAGAAGATAACATTTCCAACTCAAACAAATCTTATTTTGATTGGAATTTATTAAAAAGGCATAAATGACAGTATGAGATGGAATTTGCTAGTTTTAAGAAAGATGGAGGGAGGTCAGACGGTTTGTGAAAAGCAAGCAAGGAGCTGGACAAGGCACAGTCACCAGGGAGAAAGTGGCAGCATTTTACTTTGATGTTATGTTGCCATGAGAAGTGTTAAAAATAAAGAATAGCACTGTAAATACGTCATGGACCAGCAGTCCCCAAATAGGGTGATTTTTGTCTCCCAGGGCACATGTGGCAGTGTCTGGGGAGTTTTGACTGCCACAGCTGGGAGGTGGTGTGTGCTATAGGCATCTGTGGGTAGAGAGCAGGGAGGCTGCAAGGCAGCCTACAATGAATAGTCTCTCCGCCTCAAAATAATATAGAGCCAAGACTGGGAAGTCTGGTCACAGATCAAAATGTTCCTACCCAACAGTTCTTGTACTGTCATTTTATGGCCCTACTATCAGGGATGCCATATGGGCTCCCATGGAACAAACACGGCATAATTCACGCATCATGGTGAAATTAAGGCCTAGAGCATAAATACATGAAAAAATTGTTTTTGACCAAGATGGTCAAAAAGTTCCTTGAAGTTAGTATTATGAAAAAACTATGCATGGATTTTAACATTTTTTGCATCAAAATAAATTTGTTTTAATTCCATTTTTCACGAACTTTTTAAAGTACCCTTATAATGTTTGCATCTGATTTGCTTTCCATATATGAAAATGATTATGCTGAGATATTAATGCTCTAAAGGCAGACTTTAAGGTTCAATACTTCACCTTGAGCCAAAAATAAAACTACATTTGGAATGCACTAGTTATTTTTTTTGTTTTTGTATTTCATTCCACACACAATGCCTGGAACTCAGTTTAACAGGGTAAATTTTTCTGAAAAGTAAAATAAAATAAAGCTCTTAAGAGAATGTTTGAGTAAAAATCAAATACTTATTTTGTTTTTGGGTTTCCTCTCCCCCTTAGGATATACTCAGCAAAAATTTCTTGTTTTCAGCTCCCTCTAGTGGAAGGGAGAGGAATAGTCTTGCCATTAAGCCCATGAAAAATGAAAAAGGCTTACTTTTCAATCTAGCTTTCTCAGCGGGATCCAGAGCAGCCACAGGCTCAGAAACTCGAGAAGGCAGGCCTATTCCAGTTTTATTCACAGCTCGAACTCGGAAGATATAGGAACGACCTTCTATCAATCCAGTGACAGGAAAACGAGCAAACTTCACAGGTGTGTCATTGCACTGAGACCAGCTGTCTGTGCCCACTTCACATCTAAGAGGGAGAGAGATTCACAATATTGGGAGAAGTATGGTTCATTGGTAACCATAAGGACGCAGAATCACCCAGTTGCTTCAGATCTTCTTGGTGTGAAACATCCAGCTCAGGTGTGGCTCCCTGGTTAGCCAACTGCAGGCACAGAGTTTCATTCAAAAGCAATGTGCCTTCCTTAGTAAGTCCAAAGAAGCCTCATATCACTCCTTACCTCATTCAAAGAAGTCAACGAGGGGCCTTGTATGCTAAGTGGAGGAAGCTGGGGAAAACAAGAAGCCAGCAGGTATCTGTTTCTTTACACTGGACAAGTTTAGGGGGAGGATGCCCCAACCATCTCTCTGGCTCATGCCATCAATTCTACCATTAGTGACTTCTTTCTTTGACTTCTTCAGGTATTTTTCTTTAAAATGGAAGCATTATTGAGAAATTCATCACCTTAAAAGATATTTTACACTATTTGGAAGATAGCTCACCACATTTTCTCACTTGAGGTCACCACATTCCATGTGGTTATGTAGAAGGGTGATGGGGTTAATGCTATATGTTTGTTTCTTTAATAAATGAGATTGATAAGAGGCTAGGGGATTTGCAGGCCTGGCAGGGAAAGATTACATAGCTGGAAATGCTACTTTCCAACTGAATACTTCTACAGCAGTACTGGAAAAATAAAGGGTCACTCCTCAAGGGACATATGTTGTGCTACTGGCCTGATCAACAGAGCTTGAGGGACTCAATATGACTGAGTTACACAGCATTAGGATTAAGGAAGTCTACCATTTTTGGCAAGCAGAGCAGTCCACTTTTAGTTGATATCAGTTCCCTAACATGGCTGTGTCTAGAGTCCACAATTCTCAAATGATTCTCACAGGGGTAGCATGTGCCAATGGTGTCCACAGTTTGTGTGGGTCAGGGGTGTATCTTCCCTTTCTTGCTACCACTTTGCATCTTTGAAAAAACAGTAGACGTTTTCTTCAGTGTTATGTCAAGTGCTGTCAATATAGCTTCAATGCCTCCTTCCATCCATTTTCCCATAAATCCTCCTTTTGTAGAAATTCTGGAGCCACTGTGGTTGCAGAATGGCACAAGGCTGAGAGGACTAGGACAATTCTTCTACTACCCTTGTCTCCAGAGAGTCTGCCAGGACTCACAGACATTCCCTTCCCTGTGCAACACTGTCATTTTGACCCAGTGATCCGTGATCACCCTTCCTAGCCTCATGTGGACAGAGATAGAGGAGTCGCTTCTCTAGAAGCTTCTTCAGCATATTGCAGCAGCAAGTGTACAAAGCTATAGCCAGACTGATAAGTGGATTCTAGTTCTGCTACTTCCTATGTGTGTGACCTTAAGTGAGTGAGTATTTCCTCACTGATATGTGGTCTTGGATCACCTTTCTGTGTATAATAATAGTGCCAGTTAGCAGTTCACATATGCAAAGTGTTTAGAACAATGCATGTGCGTAATACATGGTTAATAAATATTAGCCAGAATGTAGTTATTTTTATTATGACTCAGGCAAGAGGAGAACAAAATGTACTGATTATTTCTAGTCTTTCACTGATCTAAGTTTGAAAATACCTTGGGAATTTGCCAAAGACAATAAAACAGACACTGAAAGTATGAAAAACAATCTTTCTAAACCTTCATAATTCATCATTACTAAATGATGAGATAATTAGGAAGTATGATTTCATGTATAGTGTTAAACTGTATATAATTTATTATAGCTATTTCTCTGATGGTATTAAACCTAAGGGGCAATATTTACTAATTGCTATAAATATGAGGCTTAAGATACCTTGATGCAAACACATTATACTACAGTGACACAGATTAACTGTTCTGGGTGATTTCTACAATCAGATTTCATCATCCAAAATTGAAAAGAGAATTAGAGCAACTATGTGAATAGAAACTAAGTCAGAGAAAAATGTATGTAGACCAATAGCCTAGATTTTTTATCTGTACTCCATATTCACATTGTCTAAACTCACTGAATAATAACATATAAAACCCAGTTCCAGTAAATATCAGAGTCTCTAAGTTTAGAGACTGTAAACCACAAGAACTGGTAGGGCATAATTTAATACCACTGGGTTTTGTTATTTCTTATATAACTTAAAAAACTTGAAACTATATCTTGAAATGTAAACAAGATTGTGTTAATATTCCTAACATCAACATCCTTAAATTACCAAATACAGGGAATACCAACTATTTCACTTCAAAAGTGGCCTCTATTAGGTCTACAAATTCTTAGCATTCTTGGAAAACTAGTAACTTGTGCTGGGAGTCAGCTTCAAAGGATTGATCTTTGGAATTTAGGTAAATGGATAAGTAGGTAGATATGAATATAGAGACAGACAGATATGAGTGTGTCTATGTGTATATAAGTATATACTTGTAGAAAGACAGAGACAGAGAGAGAGATAAAGAGAGTCAAAGAGACAGGCAGAGACACAAAGAGAAGGATGAAAGGAGGAGACCAGACAAGAAAATACTAAAGAAATGACAGAAATCAAGTATGCACCTCTAAGGGTAAGCAACATTGACTGAAGTTAGACTAAGCACTAACTTATCAATAAAATATCCCAGGATAGGACTCCCTCCATCTACAGCTGGCTGCTTCCAGGAGATGATGATATAATCTTTGTTGGCATCCAAGCACATCACATCCAAGGGCGCCGCTGGGGCTCCTTCAATCTCCGCATCAGCATCTGTGGAGACACAGAAGGAACCATTAGCCCTCGCATACATGCTGTTAGCGAGGTAGGTGGGGTCAGTGCCCACATTTCTTATCATAATACAGTGGTGGCCACATCTCGGCCCCAATAGAGCAAGCTTCAGATCTTGTAATCTGATTACCAACAAAACAGTGTATGCTTTTCACTCTCAGTAGTAAGAATATTATATGTTAGAAAATAGAAAGGACTCTGCAAAGAACCCACGACTTTTGCCTCATGGCCCCTAAAGTCCAAAATATTCCAAAAGAAAACATGAAGATACTGGAGATTGCTATCAGACAAGTTGTTTGTGCCAGCAATTCTGTTTTGAAGACATTGGTTGTGCAATGTTACTAAGAAACTATGAAAGCCTCCAACAGGGGACAAATGGCCCCTTCTGTCCCCTTCTGGATGCATCTACAATAGAATGAGCTTTGCCTAATTCTATGCTGGACACTACCATTTTGAAAGAGAAAGGAGAAGATTCATTGTAATCAAATTATTGTTTCCAAGTAGAAGATTCAGACACATTAACCACATCTAAGCTTAATTTATCTAAGTTTAGGAAAGATCAAGACAACATAAGAACAGAGGACAGAGTGACTGATGATGAGATGGAATCCCTCAGACACAGCTAAATTAGTGAGTCACTGCTGTTTTCAGGAGTGGAAAGGGAATAAAAATATTCAGTTAGTAACCTTTTAAAAAAAATCACTGGGGCCAGTGTTACGGCATAGCGGGTAAAGCTGCCACCTCCAGCACCAGCATCCCATATGGGCACTGGTTCGAGTCCCAGCTGCTCCATTTCTGATCCAGCTCCCTGCTAATGTGCCTGGGAAAGCAGTGAAAGATGACCCAAGTCCTTGGACCCTGCACACATGTTGGAGACCTGGAGGAAACTCCTGGCTCCTGGCTTTGGTATGGCCCAGCCCTGGTCCTTGTAGCCATTTGGGAGTGAACCAGTGGGTGGAAGATTCTATCTAGATCTAGATCTAGATCCAGAGATCTAGATCCAGAGATCTAGATCTAGATCTAGCTTCTGTAACTGTGGATTTCAAATAAATAAAAGAAATCTTAAAAAAAGAGAGAGGGGGCTGGTGCCATGGTGCAGTAGGTTAATCCTCCACCTGTAGCACAGGCATCCCATATGGATGCCATTTCTAGTCCAGGCTGCTTCTCTTCCAATCCAGCTCTCTGCTGTGGCCTGGGAAAGCAGCAGAAGATGGCCCAAGTACTTGGGCTCCTGTACACTTGTGGGAGACCAGGAGGAAGCTCCTGGCTCCTGGCTTCAGATCGGTGCATCTCCGGCCACGGTGGCCATTTGGGGAGTGAACCAATGGAAGGAAGACCTTTCTCTGTCTCTCCCTCTCACTGTCTGTAACTCTACCTCTCAAATAAATAAATAAATCTTTAAAAAGAGAGAGAGAGAAAATCGTTAAGATAAGAAGCAGAGTCCCCAGGGGAGATTCCTCCTGGCATCTGATAAACACTTTCATAATTCCAGTTGGTAGAAGCAGCTGAGGCATGCAGGAGCCACTCACCCTGGGGAAAACATTCCTGTTGACTGCACAAACGCTATGCTTTCCTATAATTTACATTTCAGTGATGCTCGTGAGAGGCTAAGACAGTTGAACTCAAATCACGTGGGTTCTGAACATTTTGTTTCTTGCCCCCATGAACTGGCACGAAAGTGTCTGTAGGTAAGTATCTTCTGCAGAAGGCTATAGGAAAATATAACTAAATCATCAGCTTAACACTAAGTGTGGAGTCCCTGCATATCACACCACAGGAAATGAGTGTTTAGTTGCAGAGAAATGTCTCTCCTTCCAGACTTGGAGAGCGCTGGGTGGGGAGGATGGTGCTTCGGGAGGTGAAGGGAGCACAGAGCTAGAATGGAAGTAGGGGGCTGAGGCCGACAAGCCTGAGGGGTGCAGTGGGCAGCCTCTTGCCACGCCCCTCTGCTAAAGGCCCCTGCTGTAACAACCAGCAACTCCCACAGTGACAGAGTGGAGTTTAGTTGGCAGAGCACACGTTGCACAGGTCCATAGTGGGGATATGCTGAATGGAGCCTGGCAGAGACTAGGCGTTCAGGGAACTATTTTTCAGTATTTTTACAACATTGCTTGGCATAGGCTTGTTAAGGGTGACAATCATTCAGGTTACTTAAGCATTCATTTACTCAATACTCTTCTGGGTGCTAGATGCAGAAATTACAAAATAATGTCTTTCAAGAAGTTACACCATAATGCGGGGAACAAAATCTAGTTGGAATGACAAGAGCACAACTGTGGAGCAAGGCCACAGAGCAAGTGGCTGCAGCAGCTGCTGGGCAGTGTCAGGCCCACTGCCACCATTAATCCTCTTCCCTTCTCTCTGCCCTGCCCTCTCCTAACCCTCCAAATAGCCAGAATTTTTGTGGGTTTCCTGAACTGGGTCAAAAATTAGCCCGATACTCTTGATATTCTGACCTCTTGCCCAGACTATAAGAAACTGTTTTCAGAATGTAAGTAATTCTATCGTTTGTCTTTATTATAAAAGTAGTGCATGCCTATGAGATATATGCTAATCAAAAATTTTAAAATCTCTCTTCATTAGATAATTAATTCAGAGATAACTAACATATTGGCCAAAATGCTTTCAAAGTTTTTTCAATATAAACTCAAAAATAATTATTCTTGAAATAAAGGAAATTATACTACATATCTTCATGTAAACCAGGTTTCCTTTGTCTGTTTTAAAGATTTATTTATTGGGGCCAGCGCTATGGAGTAGTAGGCTAGGCCTCAGCTTGCAGTGGTGGCATCCCATATGGGCACCAGTTTGTGTCCTGGCTGCTCCTTTTCCAATCCAGCTCTCTGCTGATGGCCTGGAAAACCAGTGAAAGACAGCCCAAGTGCTTGGGCCCCTACACCCATGTGGGAGACCAAGAGGAAGCTCCTGGCTCCTGATTTTGGTTCGGCTCAGCTCTGGTCATTGTGGCCATTTGGGGAGTGAACCAACAGATGGAAGACCTTTCTCTCTGTCTCTCCCTCTCTCTGTCTGTAACTCCATCTCTCAAATAAATAAATAAAATATTTCAAAAAAAAAAAAAAAGACGTACTTATTTACTTGAGAGATGGAGTTACAGAGAGAGAGAAGGAGAAAGAGAGAAAGAGATATCTTCCATCCACTGGTTCTCTTCCTAAATGGCTGCAATGGCTGGAGCTTGGCTAGACTGAAGCCAGGAGCCAAGAGTTTCTTTCAGGTCTCCCACTTGGGTGCAGGGGCTCAAGCACTTGGACCATCTTCTGCTGCTTTCCCAGGTGCATTAGCAGTGAGAGGGATCAGAAGTGGAACAGCAAATGTTCGAACTGGGACCCATATGGAAAGCCAATGCTACAAGTGGTGGCTTATCCTGCTACACCACAATGCTGGCCTCTAAACCAATTTTCTTGATATATTTCTGTATCAATAAACATAGGTATACATCATTATTGCTGTGTGGTATTCTATTATTTATAAGGAATATCTTATTATATAATATTATAAATATTATTTATAAGGAATATCTGTTAGACTTTACTGTATAACCCCTATATTGGCAGGTGTCTAGCTTTCTCCCTTTTTTCCTAAGAACAAACATTTTGTCATCTTTATCCACTGAAGTTCCTAGAACTGGAATGATTAGAAATGACTGCTTTCAATACACAGTGCAAAAACACCCTGAGAAAAGTTAAACCAATTTACACTCAGCAGCCAGAAATAGCTATGCCGGTTCCTCCATTTCTTTACCCCAGGGGCTTTTTAAAAATCTTTTCATCTTTTCAGTGATGGTTAAAAATATCTCATTTCAATTTTCAACGCTTGATTACTAGTGAAGATTTTTTCACTTATTTGCCATTTGCAATTCTTCTTCTGTGACAGTTCTCTCCCATCTTCCTTTATCATTCTTTGTGTGTTGTGTGTGTGAGAGTGTGAGAGAAAGAGAGAGAGCCTTCACAATTACTCAAAGAAATTCATTAAAATGGAATTAGAAGGTAAGTTTATTTTGGTGCAAAAAATTTGAAATCCACATCTAGTTCTTAAAAACTATTTTAAAAAATTATTTTTTTGACAGAGACAAGGAAAGACAGACAGAGAGAGTGTCCGTAGCATGGTTCACTCCCCAAATGCCTACAACAATTAGGATAGGGGCAGACTGAAGCCAGAAGCCAGGAACTTAATTGAGGTCTTCCGCATAGGTGACAGGGACTTAATGACTTGAGTCATAAAAACTGCTGCCTCCTAGGGTCTACATTAGTAAGAAGCTGGGGTCAACAGCCGGAGGTAAGTATTAAACTCATGTACTATGACATGAGACACAAGCATATAAACTAGCATCTTAACCACTAGGCCAAATGTGTGCCCTCACCTATAATTTTTTCATAATATGTATATTCCATGAACTTTTTGAAGAGCATAGATTCCAAAAATTTTTTGTAGCAAAATAATCTTTTGCTTTCCATTAAATTTTTGAAGTACCCTGATACAGAAAAGCCTAGAAGAACATGTAAAAAAAAATAAAGAAAGAAGATTGGGTATCTCCACATAATGAATTACAGATAATATGACTTTTTTTTTTTACTTTTTTGCTTATTTATATTATATATTACAATAATCACACACTATCTATGAAATAAAAATCTTGACAATGGGGACCAGTGCTGTGGGGCAGCAGGTTAAAGCCCTGGCCTAAAGTGCCAGCATCCCATATGGGCGCCGGTTCTAGTCCCAGCTGCTCCTCTTCCGATTCAGCTCTCTGCTGTGGCCTGGGAAAGCAGTAGAAGGTGGCCCAAGTCCTTGGGTCCCTGCCCCTATGTGGGAGACCCGGAAGAAGCTCCTGGCTCCTGGCTTCGGAGCCATCTGGGGAGTGAACCAGCAGATGGAAGAACTCTCTCTCTCTCTCTTTTTCTCTCTCTCTCTCTGTCTCTACCTTTCTCTGTAATTCTGTCTTTCAAATAAATAAAACAAATCTT